AACGCGGGAAGCAACGTCATTTGGAAATCCGGAATGCAGAAAAGGCGGGAAGCAGCGTCTTTTGGAAATCCAGAATGCAGAAACGGCGGGAAGCAGCGCCTTTTGGAAATCCAGAATGCAGAAACGGCGGGAAGCAGCGTCCTTTTGGAAATCCAGAATGCAGAAACGGCGGGAAGCAACGTCTTATTCAAATCCTGAATCGGCGGGAAGCAGCGTCCTTTTGGAAATCCAGAATGCAGAAACGGCGGGAAGCAACGTCTTATTCAAATCCTGAATGCAGAAAACGCGGGAAGCAACATCTCTTTCCCAAATCCTGAATGCAGAAAAGGTGGGAAGCAACGTCTAATTCAAATCCTGAATGCAGAAACCGCGGGAAGCAACATCTCTTTCCCAAATCCTGAATACAGAAAAGGTGGGAAGCAACGACTTTTGCAAATCCTGAATGCAGAAAAGGCGGGAAGCAGCGACTTCTGGAAATCCTCATGCAGAAAACGCGGGAAGCAACGTCTTTCCGAAATCCTGAATGCAGAAAAGGCGGGAAGCAACGTCTTTTGGAAATCCTTGTGCGGAATGAAATTGAAAACGTCGGAAGAAGCGTATTTTGAAAAGCCTCATGCAGAAAAGGCGGGAGTAACGTGTTTTCGAAATCCTCATGCAGAAAAAGGCAGGAACAACGCGAAAAACTAGCATGCTGGGGCCAAGTCCCACTAGCAGCGTTGAGTTTCCTCAACGCCTGAACCTGGGGTCGTGTTCGTTGGACATGTGCCGAAATGGTGTTGCGTTTCCTCACCAGCACATCTCCACAAAGACGTCCAGATTCAGGACTTGACATACTCAACACTGCTTGTGGGACTTGGCCCCTGAGATGTCCGACCGAGATCTTATTACGTCTTCTGGAAATCCTCTGCGGAAAACGCGGAAAGCAACATATCCTGAAAAGCATCATGCAGAAAAGGCGGGAGCAACGTGTTTTGCGGAAATCCTCACGCAGAAAAAGGCAGGAACAATATTAGAAACCGGCCTCAAAGCATGCTCTGAGATGATCGAACGAGATCTTAGTATCCTCGTCAAAAGGAAAACGCGGGAAGCAGCTCATGCAGAAAACGCGGGAAGGAGCTCATATGGAAAACGCGGGAAGGATCTCATACGGAAAACGCGGGAAGGAGCTCATACGGAAAACGCGGGAAGCAGCTCATACGGAAAATGCTGGAAGCAACTGCATTTGAGGCATCTTTCAGTCTAGATACAGCGATAATGACCGTACGTTGTATTCGGGGGAAGATGGTAGTCTCAAAGCATGCTGAGAAACACGATCGACCCAGATCGTGCTACTGAGTCTAATGGTTGCGGCCTCGCTGCTTTTCTCCACACACAAAGGGCAGAGACATCGCACTTGGTCCGTCAGCGAGAAGATCAGCGAGAAGGTAATTTTACCGTCTTCCACCGAACAGAACGTACGGCCATTGTAGCTGGTATTTGGGACAACCGTCAGACCAGATACAGCGATATCGATCGTACAGAGTTCTATTCGCGGGAAGACGGTAGAGGGCTAGGAACAGACAATCGATGATGGTAGTTGAGCTTGGAACAGACAATCGATGATGATAGATGAGCTTAAATCAGATAACCGATGAGGATAGATGAGCTCGACCGACATCTTGTGCATGCGATCGTCGGCAGGGGTTGCCTCCCACTACAGCAGCGGCGGCTAATCGGACTTGCTTGCCACTACACACCGGCTCCTGCCATCCGATCTGAACATCACACGGCCACACTGTGGCCACGTTGAAAAATGCTCGAAAACAGGGAGGCTCAATCCGCCGCCAGCCGGAACCATGGATGAAGGGGTCGTTAAAAAAAAAAAAAAAAAAAAACA